ATTTTCAGAGAAACACAAGTTTTTTTCTGTCCATTTTTTTTTTTTGAATCACCTATAGGATATCTAAGAAGGGAAGTCTGGTAGCTTTCCTTGGACAGAAGGGCAATCCGACTATGACATCTGTCACTCATTGATCACCCTTGCTGATTTGGCTGATCTGGCTGACTGAATAGGTGTCCTGTTCCTCCTTTCCTACTCCTTTGTCATCTCTCTTGAAGTTGTATGCTCAGCAGAAGAGGACAACCTTCTCCAATAGAGAACTTTTCTCCAGCAAGAGTATAGGAAGAGCTGCACTCTGCTGCTAGAACCTCCAAACAAGTTCTCAGGATCCATTTAGAGGTAGCGTAGTCAATCTTCCAAGACCCCAGACACATCCAAATGGGCCTCCGCAGGTGGCAGTCTACCCTTCTTTAAGAAACAAACAGACAAAAAAAAAAATGGTTCCTGAGTGGAAGAGAAAGAAATGCCTGCAAAGGTGGTTCAGAAGGGACTACAAGAAATATGAGAAGCTGATTGGAAGAAACCATCATTTCTACAGGAAAAGTTTCAAGAAGGTGGGAATGAATGATGCCAAATGTTGCAGAGATCAGGAAGGAGCAAGACCAGAATCTAGACTGCAAGGAGTTGTGGTTCGAAAGGGAGTTTTTTGATTAGAGATAATTCAAGAGGATTGACTGAAAAGCATCCAAGAGAATGTAGCAGGAGACAGAAAGAAGTGTGTACTAAAGAGGGCTCCCTTTTTTCCTTTGTCTCTGCCTCCCTCTTCTCCCTATTAGCATTGTTATTATAGGACTTTAGCTAGCATCCAAAAAGACTGAAAAGATATTACAGTGGAGTGGGGATTATTGATAAGTGTAGTACAGTTGGAGATCCTGGTTCCAAACAGTAGGAAAGATAATTTGTCTACTGAATTGAGAGAAAAAAAGGTAAAACAAAAATCACTGTCCTTCAGAAATCTGCTTAAAATCCCAATTTTCAGAAGCTTACTGTGCTAACCTCTCATTCCTCTTCATTGCACTCTATGTGCGTCAGCCTGCCTCAGTCCATCCATTCACTAATTTTTATGAAAAATTTATTCCACCCAAGCATTTTGTATGCTCATTTTATTGAAGATGCAGTGTTCATGGAGAGTAGTCATGTTAGAGAAAAAAACTCTTTACCATCCTCCTTCTCGGGAGCCCCCTCCTCTGTCGCTCCAATGCAGCAGAGAAACTGTTCCCCTTGTCCTACAAATAGAATTCCCTTCCTAGGAGGAACCCTGGGAAATAAAAAGTTTTCCACCACTTAACACAGAAATAAGTTTTTTTTTTTAAAGATTTATTTATTTATACAAGAACAGGGATACAGGCCAGATGCGCAGGAGGGTAAGAGAGTTCACCAGAGACAGAGTGGGGAACAGAACAGGCAGACTGATGAAATACACTGCTGAGGGGAGCAGCGGGCGAGACAGGAAAGGTCTGCCGCACCATGTGGAATTCTTACCGGCCGGCCGGCCGGGATTGAACCTGTGCTGCAGAGGCTGCGGATAGCTTCACAGTGCAGTGCTCAACCGCCTGTGCCACCAGGGAGCCCCCAGAAATAAGTTTTTGATGTTGTCAGGAATGAGCCAACTCATTCCTAAGAACAATTTATCTGCAAAAAAGGAAGAGAGCTCCTTTGGAAGGAGTTCATTCAGTCAGAATTGAGTGGGAAGATGCTCTGGAAGTGTGGTGTATTGGCAAATCCGCCTTTTTAGTTTTATCTAGAGTGATGTCTTGCCTGCTAATAAGTACAGCACATCCCCCCAAAACACACAACCTCATAGGAAATGAGGGTAGAATCATTAGGGCATGTTAGACTTCTATCAGGTATCAGTTAAATGGGCAGGGCTGCCAACGGATCCCCTCTGTGTTGCCTGTAGGACGATAAGGTTGGAAAATGGTGCAGAGGACTTATCTCCATTTAAGTCTGAATAATTGGGTATTTCCATGAGATTCATCCTAACCATCCCATAGAGAGCAGCTTAATTCTAGAGGTAGAAATGTACATTTCAAACATTTTGTACAAATGTCTTGCTTCCCAAGTGTTTCTCTTTTCCCCGTCCCTTTCTATCTGTGACATTTTGCAATGAGCACCCAACAGTGGGAATGATGATTGAAGTCAGTGATTCAAGATCATTTCTTTCCAGTCTCAGAAGGCTTCAGCAGTTGATTGCTACTAAGCAGCAGTTGGGAGATAATTGGCTAATTTTCTTGATAGAGAAAAAGAGGTAATTTGAAGATAATTGACCTAACAAGAGAAAAATGGATAGATGCTTAAAAAATAGTTTTGGTCTTTGCATTTTTAATAGTAACAAATAATTTGGAGTTAAAGTATCACAAATATGATAATATAAATACTGCACATATATGAATATTTACATTTTAATTGTTCATGATCATCTCACCTTCTGTCTTTGAAGTATTTTTCTTTTCTTTTTTTTTTTAAACATTTATTTATTTATACAAGAACTGGGGTACAGGTCAGAGGCGCGGGAGGGTGAAAAGATCCACCAGAGACAGAGTGGGGAACAGAACAGGCAGACTGATGAAATACACTGCTGAGGGGAGCAGTGGGTGAGACAGGAGAGGTCTGTCACGCCATGGGAGTTTCTCCCGCTGGCCGGGAATCAAACCTGCACTGCAGAGGCTGCGGACAGCTTCACAGTGTGGTGCTCAACCCGCTGCACCACCAGGGAGGCCCATTGAAAAAAGCATAAGGACTAAAAGGAAAGGATTAAATTCTAAATCCTTAGGGTGCTTAAATTTTACATGTTGTAACCACATGTGTAAAAATATATCACCATTATGTATTTGCTTTACAATGTGCTGCTGAATTAATCTCTTAAAAAAAAAAAAAAAAAAGCTGGGCATCCCCTGGTGGCGCAGGCAGTTGAACACCACGCTGTGAAGCTGTCCACAGCCTGCAGCGCCGGTTCGATCCCGGCCGGCCGGTGAGGGTTCCACATGGCGTGGCAGACCTCTCCTGTCTCACCCGCTGCTTCCCTCAGCAGTGTATTTCATCAGTCTGCCTGTTGTGTTCCCCACTCTGTCTCTGGTGAATCCTCTCACCCTCCCGCACATCTGGCCTGTCCCCCAGTTCTTGTATAAATAAATAAATAAATCTTTAAAAAAAAAAAAGCCCCAACAAACTCAGTCCATTTACCTTCCAGTCCACTACTGTGGTAGTGTTTCTGTCCTTCAAATTGGATTAGTAGAAAACAGTGTTTCTAATGAATTTTATTGATGATTTAAATCGGTGCCAAACAACTGTGAGAAAAGTTGATGCTTGGATTAAGGTTGAACTTTTCCCAGGCAAGTAAGTACCAAAACTTCAAAATTTTCATGCTCACTGTAGGGTAAAGAAAATATCAGGCTTTTCTGCCCTTCCGCCATCAGGATAGATGATGGATCCTTGTCCTGAATGCATGCCTGATGGCGGGCACCTGGAATAGGGTGTGGGCCTAGGTAGATGGGATTCAGCTGAGCTGAGACTGTGCTTTTTAAGGGCGGCGTCACGGGGACGCCAGCAGCAGCAGCAGCAGCAGCAGCAGCAGCAGCAGCAGCAGCAGCAGCAGCAGCAGCAACAGCAGCAGCAGCAGCAGCAGCGCAGCAAAACGAATGCTAGAGAGCCCAGATAGAGTGAAGACTTGCTGGGGGCTGGGAGGCCTGGCAGCCTCCCAGCCCCCCAGCCAGCACCCCTGCCTGCCATATGCCTGGTGAACCCCAAATAAAAAACCTGCAAAAAACTACTGAGGACTCTGACTCCTCCTTTACCCGGTCTGCATGGGATCAGAAAACCTGCTCTGTGGCCAGTCCTGCCCTTTGCACTCACCAACTGTAGATGGTTTTCCATTGATTCAGAACTTATATAAGAAAAAGATCCTTTATTCCCATGCCCTTAAAATTACAGGTAGAGACAATTATGTCACGTGGACATTTCATGTTGACAAGCAGGCATGAAAAGTACTATTATCTCAATTTTATGAGTGACATAACAGGAATCTAGAAAACCTAAATAAGGGAGCAGGAAAAAGAATAACTATAAGAAAGAAAAAATCAAAACCAACAAACAACTATGAACCAGAGACACACTATGGGGGAGGGGCAGGGAAAGGAGGGATTGGGGTCAAAATAAGGGGGTTGAAATTGTATGGGGAATATAAATGTAAAATGAAAAAAAATGAAAAAAAAAGAAAAGAAAAAAATTTATGAGTGAGAAAACACAACCTAGAGAAATTGTCATTTCCCCAGTGTAACCTGATAAGACGAGCAAAACCAGAGCCAGACTCTTCCTAGATCCAAGTTCTGCCTCCCATCCCTTATTCTACTGTCTGGAGGCAGTGGCAGCCTGTAAATGATGATGTTTGTTTCACTGTACAGTCTGTGTTCACGGGTCAGCAGCACATTTCTTAGATAACAGAACTCAGGACAAAGTGTTATGCTCTGGAACACGTCACCCTGCTCCATTGACATGAGACACATCTTGTCCTCCCCTAACTTCTGTTTCATGTAAACTGGATAGACTGATGAAGCCATTTTAGGAAAGAATCAGTTAGACATGTAGTTGTACTTAGGCCAAGCAGACTTCACCAGCTGGAAAGTGCCGTCAGGCATGGTGAGCAGATACTTACAGCGTGTCTGCTGCAGCAGGATTCTTGGCGGGGTAATACTTGGGCCTCCCCTGGTGGCGCAGCAGTTGAGCGCTGGGCTGCGAAGCTGCCCCGCAGCCTCTGCAGCACCGGTTCGATCCCGGGGTGCCGGCGAGGGTCCCACATGGCGCGCAGATCTCTCCTGCCACCCGCTGCTCCCCTCAGCAGTGTACTTCGTCAGTCTGCCTGCTCTGCTCTCCACTCTGGCTCTGGTGAATTCTCTCACCCTCCCATGCTTCTGACTGTACCCAGTGCTTGTATAAATGAATAAATAAAATCTTTAAAAAAAATTTTTTTAAGACTTGACAGTGCTCTTTTTCTTCTCTCCCAGGTCTCTTCATGTTCATATCCCTGTTGTCCATTGTATACGGAGCTTTGCGCTGTAACATCCTGGCCATCAAGATCAAGTATGATGAATACGAAGTCAAAGTGAAGCCTCTGGCCTATGTCTGTATCTTCCTCTGGAGGAGCTTTGAGATTGCCACTCGAGTCGTGGTCCTGGTCCTCTTTACCTCCGTCCTGAAGGCCTGGGTGGTGATGGTCATACTCATCAACTTCTTCAGCTTCTTCTTGTACCCCTGGATCCTTTTCTGGTGCAGTGGCTCTCCGTTCCCTGAAAACATTGAGAAAGCCCTCAGTCGGGTGGGCACCACCATTGTGCTCTGCTTCCTCACCTTACTCTATTGCGGCATCAACATGTTCTGCTGGTCAGCTGTGCAGCTAAAAATCAACAACCCCGACCTCATTAGCAAGTCCCAGAACTGGTACCGGCTCCTGGTATACTACATGCTGAGATTCATTGAGAACGCCTTCCTCCTGCTATTGTGGTATCTCTACAAGACTGACATCTACATGTATGTGTGTGCGCCTCTGTTGATTCTGCAGTTGCTAGTTGCGTACTGCATAGCTGTTCTATTCATGCTTGTGTTCTATCAATTCTTCCATCCTTGCAAAAAGCTCTTTTCCACCAGTGTTTCTGAAGGTTTTCAGCAGTGGCTAAAGTGTATTTGCTGTTTCCCCAGGCGGCAGAGACCCCGTGAGTCTATAGCAAAGACAGATGTGAGACTAGCAGGAGTCAGCGATGAGATACCTTCTAGCAGTAAAGTAACCTCTGTGATCAACCAGACCGGGTATACTGAGGAGTTCTACTCTGCTTAATAGGACTTGAGTTTCTTGGGACACTGACATTGTTTTCTGGGTTGATTTCTGTTCTTCACACAAGTGATGAGTCCTGCACAGTTAACAAAGCAGGATATTCATCTCACCTCCTTGTGGTTCACTTCCCTTTAGAGAGTTCTTGCTTGGGCATGTGGGCACTATGGAAGAAGCTAGGGAGACCCTGTAGTGTTGGAGGCTCAGCGTAAGGCACTACCATTCATACTTGACCATATTCTCCCAGGCTAACTGACCTTTTCACTGCCATGATGTCTGAGTTAGACTGGTTAGATCCATCAGGTAGAGTGATGAAAGGGACTTTCGTTTTTCTGGTTTTCTAGACTACTTGTCTAGGTTGCCTAATGTTTATTATCTCTGAGCATACTTATCACCCAAGAGCTGTCCTGATGACCAGAGAAGGTCCCTGGAGTTTTGCTATCAGCAACATCATTTCTGTCAGAGTTTTCAGAAAGAGCTGTTCAAGTTTGGGTTTTAATAGATAGATGTTCCATTATTATCTCATTAGGGTTCTTTGTACATAACCAACTGTAGCCACCTTGGACTGATGTCTAAATGATTCAAAAGTCTAGATTTAGAGACTTTATTCCTAAGAATAAATGGATACAAAATTGAATTGTAAACATGGTTATGGAAGCCCTAGAATTTTAGGAAAGTTGTTTCCTTCCCACATGTGGAAGAAATTCTGGATCAAGGGAGTTATTAAAATATCTAAATGTTGTAGGCTTTTATAAGCAGGATTCTTACCTTCTCTGGATGGTAAAAGATGTGAATCTACTAGACGGTAGTCTTAAACTTCTTCAAAGTTCAGTATTGCCCATTAATTCCAGGAAACTTCTAGTAGAATTTTCTAGGGTTTGCCTTCTTAAAAAGGAATGTACTAAAATTCATAGTCTTCACACACTCTCTTCCTTTCCTGTCAGGAATTTTTTGTTCTAGAAAATGTCACAGAAATCTCTCACTTAGCTCAGGTATATAGGCCATTTTAATTTCTATTATTTGAAAGAAAAGGGTTTACTTCCCTCTGCTCCCCACCCCAGTTAGATATTAACTTTAGAAACTTCCATATTATAGAAAGAGATGAAATGACCACAGGACTTTTGTCTTTATCCAAATGCATTTAGTTTGGCGTGATTGTGAGCTACTTTGAACAAGATTTCCAATTTATCCTTCTGCACTCTCCCCTCTTCAATATAATATCTTTTTGTCTAAACCTTATTTATTTCATAAAGGGATTGTGTACCATATCCTCAATTATCTCGGGAAAATGCCTGGATCCAGTGACATTATTTCTACTATTAAAACCTTTGTAGTGAAATATCTGGAAACAGGTGAGCTGGCACTGACTAGGCTGGACATTGCAGGTCAGTCAGGGTTGACAGTTAGCGGATTCTAATGACTAAACTTTCCAACCTGTCCAGTTTCCAACAACCAGTCTATCAGGGAACAGATTAAAAATGGTAAGTTTGAGTAAATTTGTGGTAAGAATTAGACAGGAGGAGATACTGGTATTTAATAGCCTTCATTTGAGGCCTGTCTTAAGAACCACTATAAACTCTGAACCTTCATTACTTTTTAATGTAGAGGACAAGTAAGTATCTTGAGTAACCTCAAACCAAGCTAGTAGTGACTGTCTGTGACAGTATCCCAGCCCAATTATAAGCCACATTTCTAAAGACAAAAAGAATTGGTAACGAAATTGTGCATTTTGTCATCTTTAACCCTTGATACAAAAATACTCCTGCTTTGGGGTCATCCATGTATGTCCATCCACTCTGGGGGAGAGAAGTCACTTTTTTTTTTCTGCATGGTGAAAATCTTAAGTCATGGTGAACTGAAAATTTTTGTTTTAAAATGATACCTTGAAATGACAAATTAGTTTAGACTGCTGAGCTAGGTTGCCCTGAAAACAAACAGCAAATTCCCTTGTGTCTTGAGAGTTAAAATGTATTTTTCAGCTATAATTCTTATTTTTAAAACCCGTAGTGCTTTGTGTTTCCTCTAATTAGCTATAGGCCATAACTTGTCATGCCAGCTGCTCCACCTGAATCACTCATTTGGCTGGATGGAGATGAAGTATTCCTCAGAGTATATTGAAATAGCATCTTCAGACATGTTTAGACTTTCTCTTCAGTGTAGACTGATATCTCCTTGTCCAGCCCTACAAGCTACTGAATTGCCCGATACCTCAGTTTCCTCACCCGCCAAATTGGATGATATACCTGCCCAACCTACCTCACAAAGTTGTCAGAAAGCTCTATTTAAATAATAAGTGTGAAAATGCTTTGAAAACATTTGTAAAGTGCCATGTATATTTAAGGTGTTGTTGTTATAGTTATTCAAATCCATAAACAGGTTATGATTACTTTACTGTTAGACAAGAAACAAGTAGTATCATCCACATGAGTGTCTTGAGTCAATATGATGGCCTTTGGCCTTGTGGAAGGGCAAGTGTACATGGTCTTTACTCCGCTCTTGTCCCTTATCATCAGTTGTTTGCAAAATTTAGCACCCAGACACGTAGCTCTTGAAGGAAAAAGACCCATTGAAATCTGGTAAATTGTCTTTGATGGCAAATAAATGTATCACTTTTGTATCGATTGTCATTCATAACATTCAAAGCAGCAACTTTTATATTGTGATTTACATCTGGAAAGTGATCCTGCTAGACATCAACTGAATGTGGGCACAACCTTTTCAGCCTTGTAAATGGGAAAATAAACATTAAAATTGACTGTAAAATATAACATTTCCTTGGAAACCACCTTAGAATATTAGTGCTGTGGTTATGAGTGTGTCCATACTTCTCAGACAATAAATTGTGGATGTGAAGTTTTGTAGGCTGCTTCTTTGCAGTCATGACTAATAAATATTGTGTATGTTTTCTCATATAATAAATTAATTTTTCAGTTTCTCCATGTGGTTCATTCCTTATACAGTCTATATATTCCTTATACAGTCTATATATTCCTTATACAGTCTATATATTCCTTATACAGTCTATATTTCAGGGGCTATCTTAAAAACAAAAATTTGAGAATAATTTCATTGTGATTAATTGTGGTTTTGTAACATCACCTGGAAATTTACTGTGTGAGATGAGAAATTTGAGAGCACTAGGATTCTGCCTTGAAAGACACCTGCAGGCTTTGGAATCTCTTCTGTTTCATAAGCATTTACTGTAAATGCTTATGTTAAAGCTGTGCTGTTAAAGCTGTACTTAGCGATACAAAAAAGAGACCATATATAACTCTAGACCAACACAACCTGCTTCGTCAGCCATGTGAATCTACTCAGTTCTCTTTATTTAAAGTTAGGAGTAAGCTTTAACTTCCCTGAGTCCTGGGAAAACTACAGCAGATTTTGAAAAGTTATTTGAAGAAAACATATACTCTTCATTAATACTAATAGCTTAAAATCATAAATTTAAAATGTTTACTGGCAAACCATGTGTTATTCATGGATAATCATTTTAGGCATCAAGTGTTTACCATTTAACATGTGAGCTTGAAGTTCATGCCACACGTCTACCCACCCCTATGATAGCTCTGTTTTTCATGGTTTAGGCCCAAGTTTGTAAAGAAGGCAGTGAGGAGAATATTTATTATTCCACTATGACCATATTTCTCCAAGTGCCCCTCTTTCCAGGGAACTATATTCTCTATGAATGTCTTTCCAGCTCAGAAATGTCAACTACACACTATGATTAAATGAGTAAAGTTTTGAGCCCTTTATCTTTTCCAGAAAAGGGTACTTTATAGAGCTGGGAGTCCAGAAACATCCCCAATCCCTTCGTTCCTAGCCCATGACAAACCCTGTCATGCCCCTCATGTGCTAAGAAGGTGTGCCAGCTGCAGAAGGCTGCCCTTGGTCTCATTCTTTGTCTCCCTCTCTGTGGAGTTATTTCTCTGAAAATCATTAAGTCACGGAAGTCTAAAACAGCGTTGATTGACCCCCAAAGAAGGTTATTAGACAACTTTCTACCAGACTCCTCTGCGGCATAGCTCGGTGTGAGGGAGTTTCAAGGTTTGCCTTCTGCCAAGGAGGAGATTATCCAGATAGATTTGGAGATATGGCCTGTGTTTTTGTTCACTCTGCCTCCCATCCTAAATTTCTCTCTCTCACTCTCGCGTTCTCTCTCTCTCTCTCTCTCTCTCTCTCTCTCTCTCTCTCTCTCTCTCTCTCTCTCTCATGAGCTTCTGATTGAAACCTGATTAGCCTGCTTCCCAGACCTCTGGGAATATCATTCCCTTAGACATCTGCATTATACATACTGGTTTAATTTATCAGTCAGCTTCCTATTTTAATTACCTACACTCTGCAGTTAATGAGTCAGGTTTTCAGCAGCTATAGCACTCAAACAAAACAGATTTAGAAATTCTATTTTGGAATGAGGCTGCAAGACCATTGCTACCACCACAGTGGAGAGAATGGTTCTCTAGTATCAACTCTTAACAAAGTGACCCTCTTAAGCGGAAGGGCAGAATTGCTTAGAACAATGGTGCCCCGCTGTGTAGCTGCAGCCCTCTCCACTGCCTAGAGATGTGTACACTGGACAGAGGTATCAGGCACGCACTTGAACAATTATTTTTCAAACCAGTGGGGATGCTGCTGTGAGTGCTAGAACAGGGCTGATGAAAAGTGGCATGTGTCTAAAGTAACTTTGTCATTAGCTTCCAGTCCAAGAACAGGTGTTAAAAATTCAACCATCATCAAGTGGGAGGTGACCTTAAATAGTGTCCTTTGTACATGAAAATGCCAGGCACTATACCTTAGAAGGATCTTTCTTTGCTGGACTATTTTCTCATATGTATTTACACCTTTTCCTTTTAAAGAATATTGTACACACAGGGCCTCCCTGGTGGCACAGTGGTTGAGCGCTGGGTTGTGAAGCTGCCTGCAGCCTCTGCAGCGCCGGTTCGATCCCCTGCCGACGGCGAGGGTCCCACATGGCGCGCAGACCTCTCCTGCCGCCCCCTGCTCCCCTCAGCAGTGTGTTTCGTCGGTCTGCCTGCTCTGCTCCCCGCTCTGGCTCTGGTGAATTCTCTCACCCTCCTGCGCTTCTGACTGTACCCAGTGCTTGTATAAATAAATAAATCTTTTTAAAAAAAGGAATATTGTACACACAAAGGTCACTTTTCTTCTCTCATTTCCAGCTTAATTCAAGACATGAGAAAATTATTTTTAAAAGGTAATGTGAATGCTTTATCTGCAAAAGTTAAATATCTACCTTTACACCAAGTATATAATCAAGATGAAATGCTTTTACCACCTGAGTACTAATAAATATATAATAACCATCGAAATGAAGTAATTTCTATGCATTCTTCAATTTACCTCCCGATTCACCTTATTTAAAGTTATATCAAGGTGCTTTTAGCCACAATTTATAAATGGGTTCTTAAAATATTTTAAATACAATAGGATTTTGTATTTAACCTAAAAAGAGGTGTAGAGACAGGCGATTCCAGATTCTAGTGGGTTAAACATCCTCAGACATCAGACTCCCCGGCTTTCCTTCCTGCCACCTTCAACCTGCTGTTTCATGTTCAAACTTGTCTTAAAATGACAAGATGGCAACTTAAGCCCCAGGCAGTCATATTTTCACAACTGAATCCAAAATTAGAAAGGGGAGTTCTCCTGGGGTATTTTAATTATTTCAGAAGGAAAATCTTTCCTAGAAGTCCCCCACCATGCATAGAATTCCCCAAATATCTTATTGACTGGGGTTGAATCACATTCCCACTCTAAAACTGTCTCTAGCATGGAGAGAATGGAATTTACACGATTTTCTTTGAAATACTGACCCCTTGGGGCATGGGAGCAGGAATACCCACCCAAGTAGTGTCCTGTAAACAAGAAGTGGAGGAAATACCCATTGATGGGGCAACCTGTAGTGTCTTTCACTGACATTTTGAAAAATAAAGGCCCAGCTAAGTCGATAAATTGAGGAAGAATGCAAAAGCTCCCTGTTTCCTCTTTCAGGAAAAACAAAATTAAAAAGCCTCTACTTCATCTCTTGCTCTCTGAAAAAAATCATGCACTAAATCAATAGTGGCAATTAGACACCCATTATCTTGTGAGAATGGCTTCCTGTGGGCTTGTCTTAGTGCCACTGGGTTGAAATTGTGGAGCTGTGGTCCTCTAGAAGGAGCAAGGAGAAGAATTCTCAGCTTTGGAGAACCAGAATCACAGAGGTTAAGAGGAGAGAGACCAGATATTCATTCAACAGTACAACAGATATTTAAAGACTGGCCCCAAGTGCCAGGCACCGGACTAAACTGGAAGGCAAGAAACTAGCCCTGACTTGAGAACTCATTGTCAGAAGAGAGAGCCACCGTATGCATCGGTGATCTCAGCGCACAGCTGTGAAACCCACGGTGGGACTCTAACTCAGCAGGTTCTTGGGACAGAGACAAGGAGACCAGATTTGGCCTTGGAGGATCACACAAGATTCACAGAGAAAGTAACATGAAATATGAGACCAGAGGTGAATTTTCCCTGAAGTTGATAAAGCTCAGGCCTCAGCACCACACATAGCCCACCTCATCCCCAGCAAATGTTGGGAGTTGTAGCATGTTCTAGAAGAAATCAGGATGCAGTTAAGAAGCATGTCTCCTAAGCATTTCTGCCACGTTGTCCAAAGAAGTAAGGGATCTGAATCTTTAGGGTGCCAGTAATTTGTTGTGACTTACTTTTCCTTCTGTATATTCTTTCACTTTGTATCTATTTTTGAATCATAGATTTTGTCTTTTTTTTTAGCCTCTCCTCAGACCTAGTAGTCTGTTTCAGGCTGCATAAAAACTAGATCTGCCCCTACTCGAGATCTGAAGCATGAGTAGGCGTTCGCCTGGTGAAGGCACAAGAATGTTCCTGGTAAGCCTGAAATTGGTGATAAAGGGCACTTATAATCAGGGAACAGCCTGTAAGTCAGAGTTGCTAGAACATGGAAGAGAAATGAAAATGGAGAGGTGACTAGGGGCATATCATGAGAGAAGAAAATAATGCTGTTGACATGAGCCAGCTGCTATGCTAAGTGTCTTATACCCATGACCACTTATTCACAATAATCCTATGCAGCAATTACTGCAATTTGTTCCATTTTACAGAAAAGAAGGCTGGGACTGGTGAGGTAACCTGTGGTTGCACGGTAAGTAGCAGGGTTGGGATACAAGCCCAATGTTGTCTGGGCCAAAGCCCAAGGTAGGCTCTCCAGACTCATAAACTTGCCCAGTTTGCAGATGTGGTTAAGTCTGGCAAACTTTAGAGGGAAAAAGCATGCCCAGTGGTATTTCCCAGGGTACCCTTGTAGGAAGGGACAGCCCTTATTCATTAAGGAGGGCCAGACTGGGAACTGAGACAGAGTGTCCTCCGCAGCTCCCAGCCCTGTGGCCATGAGGGAGCCACTGGGTTGGAACCAGTAGGTTCCCAGAGGAAGGAACTCTGGGTTGAAATTCTATCCTTCCACAGCAATATTTATGCTCAGGGTCACTCTCTTCCTGGAAAAACCAATAGAACTTGCCTGAGGCCAACTAGTGAGTTAGAGCCCATCTGAGCCTAGAACCTGGTTGGTTGATCAAGTCTTATGTTTTTGTTCTTTGGAGCCAGATAATTAACAGTGCTTACACAGATAAATTAGAAAAAAAAAATTCTTCAAACTGACATTTTAGGAAGGGGCTTAGTAAATGCTGTCATTGTGGAGGAAGACAGTTTGATTAAGTGGTCATAGTGATGTGACATTTGATGGTGTCAGATCAGGGACCAAGAAAGATTTCACCCCCTACCCAGACCATCTACCACTTCCTTCAAAGTCCCCAAAGACAGTGTTTCCTGAGAGAAAGAAGTAAAATGTTTCTTATCTTGCCCAACTCCAATGCAGAACTCTAGTTAGCTGGT